CCTGGAAAAGGGGGGGGCGGCCTTTTCCGCTTCCTGGGCTGCGCAGGGCGGGGGGCGGCGCCGCCCCTCGCCAGTCCCCCCGCCTAGCGCCCGCCCAGCCCCTCGTGCCGTCGTTGGGAAGGGGCGCCCGTCGCCCCCCCCACTCCCCGTAGCCCAGACCCTCCCCCCCCGCGGCATGGCTGGCGCCCCGGACCCCGAGGGGCTCCCCCGGCAGGTGAGCGGGGCTGGGGGGCGGGAGGGGCTCCGGCGGAGGCGGGCGGGGGTCGGCTTTGTCTGCCTGCCTGCCTCCCTGCGGAGGGAAGGGAAGGGAACCGGGGGCGGCTGGGGCTATGGGGGGGGGGAGGACCGGAGGGCAAGGGAAGGCTCGGTCCCGGCCACGGATGGAAGGAAGCCCGGCCCGCTCCGGGCAGAAGGGAAGGGCTGGCTCCGTCCGCGCTCCTGGCCTTCCTCCCCCCCCTCCGGTGGTCCCACGATGTAAAGCAGGAGCCCCCCTAGCTCCGCGCCTTCTTCCCGAGTCTGGAACGGAGTAAAGCCCCGGGATGATTTGCACCGCTTTGGCAGGAAGGAACGGAACCGGATCCCTTTGGCTTTCTCTTCTTGAAATCTAGAGAGCTGCCCGGGCCCTTGTTTTCATTTTCAATTTTCAATTTCATTTTATTTTATGTCGCTTTGAAGCGTCTTGATCGGAGGAGGGCTTAGGGGGGGAGAGAGGGAAAAAAAAGAGAGGATTTCGCCTTTTTTGTGTGTGTTGTTGCAGAGAGCCAAGATTTTGCTGAGCGAAGAGCTTGGGTAGAAGGCTGGGTGGGGGTTGAGGAGGGGTCTTGACAAGAGGGAGCGAGGGGTGATTTTTATAGTGGTTGTGTGTGTGTGTGCGTGTGTGTGTGTGTGTAATGGCTGGTGTCGACAGCTATGGGATCATCAGCCACGACTAGATGCAATCTGGAAAAAAGCAGACCGAGATCTGAGCAAGCCATGGCTTCTTTTCTTATGAATAATGCAAGGTTCAGATCATCCCCAGAAATAACTGTTGAGCAAGGGACTTGGAAGGGAAAACGTGGCCATCCAGAGTCACATGAAATGGTGAGATGAGCAGCACATAAATTTTAATAATAATAATAATAATAATAATGATGATGATGATGATGATGATGATGATCATCATCATCATCATCATCATCATCATGATAATTTGGAATCCAAACAGACCAACATCTGGCCCTGTAACGGGTCTTCAGACTTGGCCCTTTTATGACTGGTGGACTTCAACTCCCAGAATTCCTCAAACCGATGCGACTCAAGTTCTAGTCCTGCCTTAGTCATCAAGCCAAACTTGGGTAATCTTGGGCCAGCCGCTGTCTCCCAGCCCAGGAAGCAGCAGCAATGGCAAAACCACTTGCAAAATCTCGCCTAGAAAAAAATGGCAGGGACGCCTCATCCAGGCGGTCAGCAATGACTTGGAGGCACGCAAACCACAAACCCTGATGGTTAATGGATAGGCCTACTTCAGCTGGATCCTGAAAGCGTTATTTGGGTCAAACCGAGTTCCTGCCTGGCTGCACACGAAAGAAGCACATGGTTTCCATGAGGCCGCTTCGAATTCAGGCCGTTCTCCGCTTCGGAGCCTGCAGCCCAGGGGTACTTGGTCAGAATTTATCGCAAGACTGACAGATGACAGAAGATAATCAGAACAGTCAGGGATTCCTTTTACACAAAGAACCAGGCAGAGCGTTGGAGGAGGAGGAGGAGGAGGAGGAGGAGGAGGAGGAGGAGGAGGAGAGGAAATAAACAGGTTGTTATTATTGTGGGTTGTTTAGTCAGGGCTGAACTTTCATGCAAGCCTTTGTCCTTTTTGCCTGATGAAGCCGCTAGCCCAGGGGTAGGCAACCTTGGCTCTTTTATGACTTGTGGACTTCAACTCCCAGAATTCCTGAGCCAGCATGGCTCAGCATGGAAACCTCTCCATTTCTCCTCAGCATGGCTGGCTCAGGAATTCTGGGAGTTGAAGTCCAGGAGTCATAAAAGAGCCAAGGTTGCCTACCCCTGCGCTAGCCCCTAGTCTTCTCTGATTCATAGCCTAGTTCAGTGATGGCAAAACTTTTAGAGACCGAGTGCCCAAACTGCAACCCAAAACCCACTTATGTATCTTCAGGTGCCGGCGGGCGTGGCCCATTGGGTAGGTGTGGCCAATTGGGTAGGTGTGGCCAATTGGGTGGGCGTGGCTGCGGTGGTAATGGCAGACTGGTTGGGACTAAAAAGTTCAATCAATTCCAACTTTGCGAGATCTTTTTTTTTCCCTGCGAGAAGTTTAAATTGATTGATTGAACTTTTTTTTTTTTGCACACGGCGGCGGAGGCCTTAAGCGAGAAGGTTTTATAAAACCCAGCTGAAGGTCTAGAACTGGGGCGATGGCGCACGTGCCCACAGAGAGGGCTCTGCGTGCCGTGCCATAGGTTGGCCACCACAGGCCTAGTTTGAATCAGCTCACAGCCCAGTTTAGATTTTTCTAGAATTTTAGAACAGGGGAAAGGGTGGGTGGGTGTAGGGAACCACAGCCCTTTTATGACTTGTGGACTTCAACTCCCAGAATTCCTGAGTCAGAACTCCTGGGAGTTGTAGTCTACAAGTCATAAAAGGGCCAAGTTTCCCTGCTGGCTCGGGAATTCTGGGAGTTGTAGTCCACGAGTCGTAAAAGGGCCAAGTTTCCCTGCTAGCTCAGGAATTCGGGGAGTTGTAGTCCACAAGTCATAAGAGGGCCAAGTTCCCATGCTGGCTCAGGAATTCTGGGAGTTGTAGTCCACAAGTCATAAAAGAGCCAAGTTCCCATGCCGGCTCAGGAATTTTGAGAATTGAAGTCCACAAGTCATAAAAAGGGCCATCGTTCACCACCCCTATCCTACAGCAAGGGTGTCCAACCTTAGGAACTTTAAGATCTGTGGACTTCAACTCCCAGAATTCCCCAGCCTGCCAGCCATGCTGGCTGGGGAATTCTGGGAATGGAAGCCCACAAGTTGCCAAACTTGGACACCCTTGTCCTAGAGTCTCAAGCTCTGAAGTTATTACAGCTCCTGCATCTTCCTCCAATTCAGAAACAAACGGAAGGGTTTCACCTCGGGAGCCATATCTAATACGTGGTTTGTTTGGAAGGAGAACTTCTGCTTCACAATTCTGTAAACCCAGGGTCCTGGGAGAAGACCTCAAAGGACTTCAGGGATAGGCAGGAAGTCATCACTTCTTTGAGATACTGAAGTTCTGTTGTAGTGTTATGTGTTCCTGGCCACTTTCCTTCGTGACCAGAGGCAAGGTCGCCTGACCAATAACCATCCAAGACACAGTGAAGGCCTTTTGTTTCGTTTATTGTGTTAGAAGTAAGTCTTCATCCTGGTTCATCCAAGCCGGGAATAAATAAGCAAACATGGCGACTGCTTTGGGAAGAAGGTTACAGTTTATTACAGAAGAAAGATGGTCCTTGCAAGAAGGAGCAGAGGAGAAGAAAGAGAGTGAGCACATGGGTAGAAGGTTTTTTTATACCCCCTCTAGCCCTGTTTGGAATAGTTTCCTGTTCCTGTGGCATGAACTTTGAGGATATTTCTGAGTGTTTTTCTAGGCCTTGATATCTGTGGTTTAATCCTATTATCATATCCTGCTTCCCAGGTGATGGGGCTAATGACTCCTAGAGTTTGGGTGGGGCATGCAGATTNATAGATTAACATTGGAGATGAAAGAAAAAGATGACTCAGTTTATTTTATAACTTGGGAAAAATTTTATCAATGGTTAGAGACATGTTAGAACTTGAAGGATTTAATATTTTAGAACCAATGACTGATATTTAACCGAGTTCTAATTAATACGTTGATAACATCTTTAATTTTAGTGATTTAGTGATTCTTATCCGTTAATGTTGTTAGTCATGACTTCTTGAGATTTTATTATTCATGTTTATTTAAATAGATGAATTTATTTGTTTATTAATTGTTAGTAATATGGCTACAGTTAAGCTTATTTTAAAAATGGTAATATTTACCCATTATTATGATCCGGACAGTAGCGTGTTTGTTAAAATATGTGATTGTATCTATCCTTATTTTATCCTAAATCCCCTATTCCCTTCCCCCCATCCCCTTCCCTTACCATACCTGTATTGTTCCTATTTTTTCCTTATGCCTATAAACTCAATAAAATATTGTTTAAAAAAAAAAAAAAGCTTGGTTCTCTCCAAAGTTTCAACCCAAAATATTCCCTTCTTTATACAGCCCTGTCCCGGCCGCCACATCCCTCCTCTTTCCCCATTGGCTGAGGTACTATGAGGTTACAACTATGAGGTTACACCGACTATCTCCTACATATTTCCTGCTACATACTAAATCATACATCACATGTACATTAAAATTAAGAGATAAGGTGTGTCAGTTAATATTAATCAACTAATTGCACAGGCTCAGTTGCCTGAGTTCTGCCCCCCCTTTTTTATGACTTCTTAGAAAAATCGGTTCTTTCCTGTTTTGCTAGTTATCTTCTCTTACAGCTCCTTTTCCCCATTCTGAAGACCCAGATAACAATTTTGCCTATGTGTTTCTCTTCCATCCTTCCTTTATGCTGTCCTTTCCTGTTTCCCAGCCATTGTAGTTGCTTCTCCACTCAGAAAATTTCCACTGCAGCAAATTCAATTTTAAATTTCTCTTTCAATATTAAATTTTTGAAGACCTTTCCTTTACTTCTATCAGTAGGACCGTATTATTTAATTATTTGAATGTTGCCCTCACCATTTCTGGATTTTGTTTTGTTTTTTGCCCACTCAGGGTGATGGTTTATTCATTAAGAACGGACGGATTATCAACGATGACCACTCCTTCTACGCCGATGTGTACGTGGAAGATGGACTTATAAAGTTAGTGTCGAAACCCTGAAATTTGTTTTGTTTTGCACATTCTGTGATACAAAAGATGCAGCTTCTGGCCTACTTGCTCTGGTTAACAGCTTTGGATTAAAAAGATGATACTTGGAGAGACAAAAATCAGAAAGCGATGAGGTTAAACGATTGTAAGGTATGCCTCGATTTACAACAGTTCATTCAGTGACCATTCAAAGTTACAACGGCACTGAAAAAACAGACTTATGCCCGTTTTTCACACTTAGGACGGTATAGCAGCCCCACGGCCATGTGATCAAAATTCAGATGCTTGAGAACTGACTCGTATTTACGACAGTCTCCCGGGATCACGGGATCCTCTTTTGCAAGCTTCTGACAACCAAAGTCAAGGGAGGGAAGCCAGATTCACTTAACAACCGGGTTACTAACTTAACACCTGCAGTGATTCACTTAGCAACGGTGGGATAAAAGGTTGTAAAAATGGGGGCAAAATTCACTGAACAAATGTCTCACTTAGCAGCGGAAATTTGGGGGCGACGGTCGAAAGTGTGAAAAAGTGGTCATAAGTCCCTTCTTTCAATGCCGTTGAGACTTTGAATGGTCACCAAATGAGCTGTTGCAACTTGAGGACTACCTGTAGTTAGCTTATTTCATGTAAGCAGTGCTCAGCTGGGTTCTTGAGGCTGAGGGCCTCAGTACTTCGTAGCAAAATTTTCAGTCGAAAAACGCAGCGAGTTCTTTCAGGAATCCAGGCACTTGGGGATATTTTTTTTTAGGGCTGAACCAAGCATGGCGATGCTGCAGGCGATCCTTTAAAGGTGAAATGTATATTTGAGATGTTTCGGGCCCTCCCTCGATAAAAGAGTGAGCAGCTTTGCTTTCTTCCTGCTTAGACAAATTGGAGAGAATCTGATTGTCCCCAGAGGCCCAAAAACCATCGAGGCAAGCGGCTTTATGATTCTCCCAGGCGGCATCGACAGCAACACTTGTCTGCAGAAATCCGTTCAGGGCTTAGCAGTGGCTGACGACTTTTATCAAGGCACGAAGGCTGCATTGGCTGGGGGCACCACCACCGTCAGTAAGTATCAGAGCCAGACCCACAACAGATGAGGTTCAACTTCTCCATAGGGATTTCTGTGGAGATTGTCCATCATCCAGGTCACGGTTATCCCAAACGTTTGCCTTTTCCAAAAGGCAACTGGACTTTCTGGTTTTTTTTTTTCTTTGAAAACATTTCATGTCTCATCCAAGAAGCTTCTTTACTCAAGAACTGAAGAAGCTTCTTGGACGAGAAGCGAAACCTCTTCAAGGATAAGTCCCGAACCTCTCGACTGCTGCGCTGCTGCGCAGGACCGAAAGTCTACACAGTTTCTTATTTACCACAAATCACCCCAATCCTTATCTCTGAGTCTTCTAAACTTCCAAAACCGTGAATCCGGCAGCGAGGTGGTCACACCACAAGATCTTCAAATATCGAAGAGTAATTTTTCAAGCCTCTGGAAACCGAACGGTTCACCCGGCTGACTTTAATTCAAAATGTGCCAAAATCTGCGATTCGAGCGGGCGCTCTTTGTCTTTTGCAGTTGACCACGTCCTTCCGGAGCCTGGCTCCTGTTTACTAACGGCGTTTGGAAAGTGGAAAGAGGCAGCGGAGAGCAAATCCTGTTGTGATTATTCTCTGCACGTGGACATCACCGACTGGTATGATGGGATCCAGGAAGATCTTGAAAATCTGGTGCACAACAAAGGTTTGTTTGCAATAGTGGTGAATATCTGTAGCTCGGCTGGAGGATGAGGGTGGAGGTTCGGTCTCCGAGCTTCTGGGTTGGTTTCCGAACGTTTCTGGGTAACATCTTCAGTGGAGTTTAAGGGACGTCAGTATCCGTGTTTCTTCTGTTTGTAAGGGCTTCAGGTGTGGGTGTGTTGAGTGAGGGTCTCACAAGACTCATCACAAACCTCTCACTGATGACTCACACCTGACCCATCACAAGACCCAGCAAAGACCCTCACTTGACACACCCACACCTGAAGCCCTTGTAAACAGAAGAACAAGGACACTGACATTCCAGACACGTGGCGACAATTAGCAACTGACTCACATTAACGACCGTTGTAGTGTCCCGGGGGACCATGGGATCCCCCCTTTGCCACCTTCTGACAAGCAGTCAGTGGGAAAATCGAATTCCCTTTAACAACTGCAGCAATTTGTTGAACAATTGTGATAAGAACATTCGTAAAAGGGAGCAAAATTCACTTAGCAAATGTCTCACTTAGCAACAAAAATTTTGGATTCCGTTGTGGTGGTACGTCGGGGGCTGCCTGCGTTGTCAGAATCAAAGGTTTGCGTCTCGAAGGAGTACAAAGGTTGTAATGCAACACACAAGTCTGACAGAAGATGATTGCTCACCTTGTTTGAAAAAGTATAGAGACGTACAATTGTGTTCATTCTGGGTTTTTTGTGTTTGTGTGTTTTGTTTTGTGCATTATATTTCATTGTATTAACACTTGAATTAACACTCTCTAGATAGCCATTTCAACATTTGAACCTATGCTACCTAAAAAATAGCTTATCCCTGTTAATGTAGGAAGTGAATTGATAGTTTATCAGTCCCAAATAAAACAGTCTCTCCGTGTTTTATTGGTTGGACTCTGTGTTTACGGTACCAGGTAATCCTAATCCCTTTATATTGTGTGAATTAATTCATTCATTTTTTTTATCTTAATAGGTATCAATTCTTTCCAAGTCTACATGGGCTACAAAGATCTCTACCAAATGACCGATTCCCAAGTATGTATTTTTTTTTTCTTACGAGATTTGAAATCTCATATCGGTCTGATTTTTAACTAGGATGAAGTGGATAGCATTTGCCAACTGTGTTTTATTTTTCGTTCAGTTACCTCTTCTCTTTTGGTTCGTGAGTTGAGTTGGACCCCCATTTTATTCTGAATTAGGATTCTGCTCTCTTTATGATTCTGTTGCAGGATTAGGGCAATTTTAACTGAGAATATAGACGTTATCCAATGCTTGGACTGCTATTTTCAGAATGATTGTCTTTCAACTGAGCCAGGAAACCTTTCCAAATTGCCAGATCCTCAGCTGATATCCTAAGGCAAAATTTAATGAAAATCTCATGTTGTTAAGATTATTCTTCTTTGGTGATAGATTAGCAATAGCAATGGCACTTAGACTTATATACAGCTTCGTAGTGCTTTACAGCCCTCTCTAAGCAGTTTGCAGAGCCAGCCTCTTGCCCCCAACAATCTGGGTCCTCATTTTACCAAAACATGGCTGAATTCAGAGTGTTTGAAGGTCTGACAGAGGCGATCCTGCAAATAATCTGGTCCCGTGAAGCTTCTATTGACCAGGAAGGGAGACGGGAACAGAGGTTAAAAAAAAAATCTCCCCAGAAAGAACTTGATCCATTTTGCCAGTGACAAGATAATGAATATACATCATGAAGTTTGCCTTTTTTGGATCTGATGTTATCTTAAGCTGAGAGAACAGAAAACATGTAAAAACAACTCTTCTTCTTCTTCTTCTTCTTCTTCTTCTTCTTCTTCTTCTTCTTCTTCTTCTTCTTCTTCTTCTTCTTCTTCTTCTT